GGTGATGGATTTGGAGACAAAATGTATTTACATTGGGTTGCTGTAAGTGGAGCACTAATAACCCCAAAACTCTACTTATTATTTTAAAAGAGAATGCACCTGACAAGCTGGAGAGTATGCTTCTCAAAGCGCTTTACAGGATAACAACAACAATAACAACAACAATTTACACGTTCTGGGAGGAAAAATATGATCAATATTAATAATAATAATAATAAACTTTATTTTATAGAGCGCCTTTAAAGGTGGCTCCTCAAAGCGCTTTACAGGATATCAACCGATGAAACAACAGTGGTTGGGGGTTGAAAATACCTGTGAAACCTGTTTGTTCACAATGTACTGTAGACACAGAGTGTTACACCAATGCATTAGCATGTTAAAGCGATTCCATTGAGGAGCCGGGCACGATCATTGTTTTGTTCCTTGATTTTCTGATCTGCAAGGCCATTTGGCTGCAGGGAATGTGAATTCTGTCTTGCATTGCCAGATTGTGAAAAAATTAAAATATTTTAATCAAGATGGGGGGTAAAGGAGTCGTCTCTATGACACTCTCCCTTATAAAATTAACGTGAAACAAAACAAAAACTAAAAATAAGATACAATCTACAGACATTCACAATATAAACATATCTTAAAACATTTACATATATTGTTAAATTATTACTTTAAATATATACTTTAAGTTACTGAAACAGCCAGTTAATAAAATCGTTAGAATTTTGTTCTTGTTTGGAGGTGGGGATATTCTGACAACAATTGATTTAAAGACAATCTGTCAAAGTGCAATGAAATACAATATTACGGGGGTACCTTTAAAGCGGAGATGACGAAAATAAAGTTTATTATTAATTTGCTGGACAGAGAGGAGAACATTATTATGCAGAACACAAAGATAACGATTTACGTTGCATTGCCAGATTGTTATCAATAAAAATATTTAATTAAACACGGGTTTGTGATTTAAATGGAAATGGGGGTGACAGGAACTCTTAATCTAAATAAAAATAAAATAAATAAAACAGGTTTCAATAGTTAATAACCACTTTTTATGCGCGAAACACGGGTGATTTTTCTTCCTCCTGATCAGTTTAGAAATCTGTGTACACTGTAAGGTTTTTTCTTCCTAATTAAACTTTTAAAATACGCGTATCGAATAGAAGCAGCATATATGCTGTTTTCTTCCTGCTATGTAGAACAGATCAGCAAGTTTTTTTTTCTCCAATCAGAGGGGTGTCAGATGGTGTCAGCCAATCACCATTCTGAAGCCTACCGTAATCTCTGGTATAGGGACACCCCAGAATCCTGTCGCATTTTCATTTTAGGAAATTATTAAACGCTCGGTTAAAAGCAAGGGAGATTGTCAGTTATAGTGGACATAAAAACAAGAGTTTGCTGCGGTGTTATTGGAAACCCAATTTTAACACAAATTGCCAGCATTATATCCTAGAAGACACAGACCAGCACCAGACCGGGAGAATAAATGAAAATGCAGATAAACTACGGATTGGACAGTTTCCAAGTGCTTGTACAATCGATGGAAATGTTCAAATAAATGTGCAAAAGAAATAAAAAAATAATTTATTCCTTTATCATATTGGCTAGCTAATGTCCTCTCTTTGCTAGTTACCTGTGGCTGTGTTCCTGCATTGCGTAATAATGAGTAACTATATTCTCAGGCGGAGGAACGTAAACAGCTTAATATTCGCGTTAAATAATTTTTTAAAATTAAAATTCATTCTATACAGCAATCGCATATTTGGGGACCGTTTCATAAAACTTTGATGCTTAAAATGTTTAGGGAGAAATGGAAGACTGGTGTGTGTTTTTTCTTTAAACTACCAAGACCAGCCATATACAGTACAGTTTACCTACAGTAATATGTTTATGTTCCTAAATTTATATCGTTTAAGACCTTCAGATGCGTTATGCACGTCTAAAATTTCCCTTTAGTGGTACAATTTCATATAAATATTCAGTACTAAGCGGATTAAAATGTGCACAGTAAAGAGATTAAATGATTAAATCTTTTCACTACCGACCAATGCACCACGAGTGCCCGTCGGTCATTTTGGCCAGCCAATCACTTACCGCGGTGCACTGCGGTGGCTTGTGGGTAGTTGCGTGCGGTACGGGTTTGTATCGTGCATTTTGAATGGCTGCATCTGTAGTTCCACAACCCTTCTCCCCCTTGGCAGATCAGATCACAACCTTGTCTTGCTTACACCACTATACACGTCTATTGTCCAGCATCTACCTGCGACCATGAGGACTGTGAGGAGATATGGAGGATATAGGCTATGGAGGATCTAGGTGGTGTTTTGGAGGCTACCGAGTGGGATGTGCTGTGTGAACCACATAGGGACGACATAGACAGCATGGTGGACTGTGTCACTGACTATATTAACTTCTGCATAGACAACAAAATCCCCAACAAAGACGTACACTGCTTTTCCAATAACAAACCCTGGATCACCAGCGACCTGAAAGAATGAAATGAATGAAATTCAGACCTGAATGAAAAGAAGAGAGCCTTTAGGAAGGGGGATAAGGAAAAGGTCAAGCGTATACAGAGGGAACTCCAGTAGGAAGGTAGAGGACAAGCTGCAAAGGAATAGGGTGAGAGATGTATGGAGCAGCATGAGAGAGATCGCTGGCTTCAAACAGGCTGGGGGTGCAACGGAGGGGAACCTGGAGATGGCCAACGAGTTGAACCAGTTTTTTAACAGGTTTGATTCAGGCCCCTCTGTGGCTCAACACCCATCCCCACTTAGCCACATGCTCCCTAACCCTTCACAGCTGCGACTGCCCAACACCTCCTCCATCCCCCGACAATCATGGCCACCTACAGCTACGACCCCCAACAGCTACTCAGCCCCCCATCCCCCACAGCTGCCATTCTACAACACCTCCACCATTAACACCTGCAGCACTGACAGTGCTATGAGCACCATCCCCCAGACCAGGCTGACCATCATGGCTGACCAGGTGAAGAAGGAGCTGAAGAGGCTGCACCAGGGTAAGGCCACAGAACCAGACAACGTCTGTCCCAGAGTTCTGAGGGCCTGTGCTGACTGTTCAACCTGAGCCTGCACTTGGAGAGAGTCCCTGTGCTCTGGAAGACATCATGCCTGGTCCCGGTACAAAAGAAAGGGCTCCCCTCTGTCCTCAACAACTATAGACCAGTTGCACTGACTTCTCATGTCATGAAGACACTGGAGAGGCTGGTCTTATCCCACCTGAGACCCCTGGTTAGCTCATCACTGGACACCCTAAAGTTCGCCTACCAGCCCAATGTTGGTGTGGAGGATGCGATCATCTACATGCTGCAAAGAGCCTACTCACACCTGGACAGGGCTGGCAACACTGTAAGGATCATGTTTTTCGACTTCTCCAGTGCCTTCAATACCATCCAGTCCTTACTTCAAAGGAGGAAGCTGGAGGAGATGCAAGTTGATGCCTCCATGACCTCGTGGATCACTGATTACCTGACAGGCAGACCACAGTCTGTGAGACTTCTGAACAGGTAGTGAGTAACACAGGGGCTCCTCAGGGGACGGTTCATTCTCCATTCCTCTTCACCCCCTATACTTCGGACTTTAAGTACAACTCAAAGTCATGCCACCTGCAGAAGTTCTCAGATGACTCTGCAATTGTGGGATGCATCAAGGGTGGGCAGGAGGAGGAGTACAGAGGACTGGTCAGCAGCTTTGTGGAGTGGTGTGGGGAGAACCACTTGGAACTGAATGTAACAAAGACAAAGGAACTGGTGATAGAAAAAAGTCAAACCTGTCTACATCCATGGGAGTGGCGTGGAGATGGTGGACTCGTACAAGTACCTGGGAGTGCACATCGACGACAGACTGGAATGGTCTAAGTACATCGAGGCCATCTACAAGAAGGGACAGAGCCGACTTTACTTCTTGAGGAGGCTCAGGTCCTTCAATCTATGTAGTAATATGTTCTATCAGTCGGTGGTAGTGAGCGCCATTTTCTAAGCAGTGGTATGCTGGGACCCTGGGATTAGAGCAGTGGATTCTAAAAGGCTGAACAAGCTCATCAGGAGAGCAAGCTCTGTCATTGGGTCTGACCTGGACCCCTTGGAGGTAGTGGCTGAGAGGAGAATGGTGTCCAAACGACAGGCCATCATGGACAACATCTCCCATCCCCACTATGACAGGCTTGTAGAAATGAAGAGCACGTTAAGCAATAGAATGATTAATCCACGGTGCGACAGGGAGCACTACAGGAGGTCATTCTTGCCTTCTGACATAAGACTGTACAACACATCCACCTTGCCTCTGGGCAGAGACAACATTGACAGTGACCTGTTTCTGGACTGAACACATCTACACATCCATTGCTCCATTTGTTCTTTTTTTTTTTGTTTACAACCGTTTTTTGTGCAATATATGCCAGAGACCCATGAAATACATTTATATTTATATTGATATCTATATTTACATCTATATTTATATTCATATGTGCAATACGATTTTTCTGCATACTGTTCTGTTCTAGTTTGTTCTTTGTGTGTCCTGGACTGTGAGTTACTCTTTTAGTGCACCCTTCACTGTACTGATTGTATTTCCCTCACGGGATCAATAAAGTATCTATCTATCTTACGTATAGTTAGCAAGCTAGTCAGATTTTAAAAATGAAGAAGCCAAGTATAGGAGGATTGGCAAGGAAATCACAAAACAAAATGCTGACTGGGGAAACCTTTTGTAAATTGAATAGAATGTCTAGAAATGCAAAGAGATCCACATATATTTCAGAGACACGTACATTACAAACGGATGATTCTGAGCTGCAGGAAAGCAGTTCACAACAATTTCAAAAGACCAATTCTTCATTAAGGGAGTCAAAACTCATTCTCAGAACAATCAGAACCTCAACGCACAGGACAAGAGGACCCAGTGCAGGACTAAAAACATACTAACTACAGGGGTATGAAGAAGTGTACTCAGGGATTCAATGAAATATTCACGGTGAATACAGCATTGTTCTGTGCAATTTTATTATGATTACAGAATAACCTTTTAGAATAGTTTAAACATGTCGAACTATCTGCAAACCTGTTTCATTTCTACTGATGTTTTTTAAATTTCTTTCATCAATGGGGTTGAATACATCTGGGGACACTGTGGCTAGCTGTCTAAACTGTATATGAATAATGTGTATCAATAGTATTTATAGGCAATTGTATTTCAAATCTCACGGTTTTTATTAATTGACAGCTTTAAGCAACATAGACTTGGAAATGTGAAGGAAAAATATGTGTACTGTACATTGTATTATTAGTAGTACTACAAGGAATTCTAAATAACAAACAATGAAGAGTCTGCAGCATACGCTCAGTGTTTAAGTGAGGATGTCTATGATAATGTTTACAAAGAAACTATAATTTTGCAGACAAATGTGCTAGTTAAGCAAAGAATACTATCAATTATATTTCTTGAAAGATTGATTCTCCATTTTGATCGATTTGATATAGAAAATAACCAGGTGTTGCTGTAAATCTACTTTGTAGAGTGGTCATGCCCTTCTTCATCCACCCAGGGGCCTGCTCCTAACTTGTGGATCTTGATGCTGTGGTCAGCTGCTATAATGAAAGATTTTCCAGGAGTGACACTGTAGTTGAGCACCACGGTTTCCAGGCAAGTATTTCTGTCATGCTCATCTTCCACGAACACACAGGCATAGTCGACGCCTTTCTCAGGAAACGGTAAGAGTGTGTTGATGTCGAGTTGAATGTATTGGTCCTTGAGATCAGACTTAAAGACCTTCTTGGTGCTGGACTCTCCACCGTCGTGTAGCACCATTTCTTCAAGCTCCTTCTTCTCCACTCCATAAAATATACGAAGTGGCTTCCCAGTTGCATTTGCCACATGGAGTTTGGAGCATGGTCTTGCAGATCGTAGGTTAATTGTGACATTTCCACCAGCATGAACTAAAGATGCAGATGAAGTTGAAGATGCTCCAGCTCCCATATTGTCTTTCTGCCAAAACTGTACTGAAATGTAGAGACAGATATCAGTAAATAAAAAAAAATTCCAAGTTTAATTATATTTTCAACTTTTTTCATGTTTGTACAGAAGAACAATATATGACACAGTCATTGTGGAGAAGAAACAGGACTCAAACGTTGTGAGAAAAAGTTTGTGAACCCCTTGGAGCTATCAGTATTCCTACATAAATGACTGTAAAATGTGCTAATTTTCATTAAGTCATAATAATAGATAAACACAATCTGACAAAATAAATAACACACAAACGATTATACCTTTTCTTGTCTATATTAAATACTTTGTTTAAACATTCTTTGTCTATGTTCAAAAAAAGTATGTGAACCGCTTGGTTAATGATCTCTATTAAAGTGGGTTATTGGAGTCTGGAGTTCCCATCAATAAGATGACATTCAGGTGTGTGTCTGAGGTCTCCTGCCCTATAAAAAATTCCATAATTCAATTCAATTTAACTTTATTGTCATTAAACTTACACAGGTGCATAGTATAATGAAAAGTGTTTCTCATTATTCACTCAATGTTTGGGTACCAACAGAATCTGCTCTTCGTAACAAAGATATGATGAAGTGAAACATGCCCCTATCAAAAGAGGTTTCAGAGGACCAGAAAGAAGAGAAGAACAGTTGCTGATGCTCATAAGGCTGAAAAGGGTTACAGAAGCATTTCTAAAGATTGGCCTCCATCAATTCAGTCATGCGGATAGTGTACAAATAGAAGAAATTCAGTAGCACTGCTACTCTCCCTAGGAGTGGTTGTCCAACAAAAATCAGCCATACAATCTCAAGGAGGTGACAAAAAACACTAGGGTAATGGGTAAGAATCTGCAGACATCTCTTGCACAGGCTAATGTCTGTGTTCATGAGTCCACAAGAAGAACACTGAACAAAGCGGTGTCCATGGGATGATAGCATAGAAGAAACCCCTGCTATAAAAAAAAAAACATTGCTGCCCAAGTTTGACAAAGACCAGCTGGATGTTCCAATACTCTACTGGAATAATATTCTGTGGACAGATGAGACAACAGTGGAACTTTTAAAAAATAAACAATGTTATGTTTGGAGGACATAAAACATTACATGGCAACACAAAAACCTGATCTATGAAGCGGGGTGGAGGGAGAATCATGGTTTTATGGAATTATTGAGGGAATAATAAATTCCAAATTGTATCAGCAAATTCTACAGGAGAATGTCAGGCTATTCATTTATGATCTGAAGTTGAATCATGTAGCAGGACGATGATCCTAAACACAGGAGTAAATCTACATATATTGGCTTAAACTCAGGACATTTAGCATTTTGGAATGCCCAAGTCAGAGTTCTGATCCAACTGAAATGCTGTGGTATGACCTAAGGTAAGCCATTCATGCAAGTAATTCCAATAATACCAATTAACTGAAACACTGTAAAGAAGAAGGGTCCAAAATATCTTTAAACCAATATACAGGACTACTCAATGTGCTTAAAGTTATTGCTGCTATTGATGCTATTATCATCCAGTTGGATGCTGCACACATGTGGTGGTGGAGGGGAGTCCCCATTACCTATAAAGTGCTTTGAGTGGAGTGTCCAGAAAAGTGCTATATAAGTTTAAGCAATTATTAATTATTATTATTATTTCCCTGGTACTTCACACTGCCTTGGAGAATTTGGATGATAAAGACACATGTTAGAATTCTATTCATTGATTAGAGCTCCATCTTGAACAGTATAGCTCCATTCAGACTAGTCATCAAGCTTAATTATCAGGTCTCAGCACCTCTCTTTGCGGTAGGGTTCTAGATTTCCTGACAGGCAGACCACAGACTGTGAGGGTTGATGGAAGGCTCTCTTCCACACAGACTGCCAGTATAGGCATTCCTCACTGTTGTGTGCATAGCCCCGTGCTGTTTCCCTTGTTTCCCACAATTGTGTGGCCAGACACAGCTCCAAGTGCCTTGACAATAATCTCTCCCTCAATGTCAGCAAAACTAAAGAGCTGGATATTGATCTTAGAAAGCAGGGTGGGGAACATACCCTCATTCACATCAATGGGGTGGCTGCAGAGATGGTTAGCAGCTTCAAGTTCCTGGGTATTTTCGTTACTAATGATTTAACTTGGACCAACATGTAACTACGGCTACAAAGAATGCACAACAGTGCCTTTACTTCCTCAGACAGTTTGTAAAATTTGGTTTATCTTAATATATTCTTAAAACATACTATAGTTGCACTATTAAAAGTGTGTCCGCATTTGTTATTACAGTATGTTTTGGCAGCAGCTCGTTTTCTGACCGAATTGTGACACAGGAGGTGCTCAGGTCAACCCAGTCCATCATTGAAGTACAGCTCCCCTCTGTTGAAAACATTTTACAACTCACTGTCTCAGGAAGGCCAGCAGTATTGCTAAGGATTACAATCATCCTGGTTTCTCATTTTTCTCTCCACTGCCCTCTGGTAAGCCTTATGCTGAAGGAACATAAAGGCATGTACCTCCAGATTCAGAGACAGCTTCTTCCCACAACATGTCAAACTATCGAATTCTACCTCTACCACTGACTCACACTGATGTTATTTAACTTTATTGCGCCAGCTGTGGTTCTGTGTATAGGTTTAATGTTAGGTTAGTGTCTTTGTATTGGAGCATATGCAAATAAGCACTTCAATTGTGTGTATGACAAATAATCTGAACTAAAGGGAGTTTCCATGTGTTGTATGGAACATGTTCAAGTTCACTGATAACACTGTTCTCATAGGGCATATCACAAACAATGATGAGTCTGTACTAAGGAATGAAGTAGTTGAATTAGTTTAAAAAAACCTAGAACTACATTTTAGTAAAACCAAAAACTGGTGATGGACTTTAGGCCAAGCTAAGGAGGACTCTCATCACTGTGCATCAGTGGTCAGACTGTAGAGGTGGTGGAGAATTTGAAGTTTCTTGGCATCACCATCTCCCACACTCCAAATGGGAGGTTAACACGTCCATCATGGTGAAGATAGGTCAACAGAGGCTGTTCTCCCTGAGACAGATAAAGATGTTTGGAGTGTGTAGGATGGAAGCACTTCAGCCCAGGAGAAGAAGCAGCTAGAGACAGTAATGTATATCAGATCCAAAACTGTAGGAGACCACCTTCCCTCTGTGGACCACCTCTCTAGACTGAAACATAAAGCTGTAAAGAACCTCTTTGACACTTCCCACCCTCACCAGCCTCTGTTTACTTCTCCCCTCTCTCCCCACCTACCCAGAGATTTTTTAAATGTTTGCTTACTTATTTTAGTACTGGTGTGTGTTTAAGATGGTGTGTGAATGATTTGGGTGTATGCATTCTACTATCGTCTTTGTTGACATGTTGTTTATTTGTATTGTATGTCTTTAAAGGTATGAGGTGACCAAACAAAATTCTGTGCAGCTGGTTATGTCAAGAAAGCAAAGAAATAAAATGTTTTAGATGGGTCGAATGGCCAACTCTCATTTGTTACCGTTCTTTGGGGATTATTCCGTACTTTTTGTATCTGTAATTTGAATTTAAAACTTTAAAAATTTAAAATAAAAGAAAATATAAATAACCATGTCATGAATAGAGAACTGTGGAAGGGTGTTCAAGTGAAAATGAGACCTTTAAGGTTTACGACTATGAGAACACTTATTCTTCACATCTACACACATAAGAGAATATCAAATTTAGTGACAACGCAAGAGATACAGGATGCAAGCATGCATTGTCAACATTGTACTATATGCTGGATTTAAACTTTGGGTACAGATAGACTTTTATTTTGAACATGAGCATAGCATCTCTGAAAACCGATGAAAAAATCATCCTTTCTGATGACTACTCTTGTCCTCTTTGTTGCTACAATCTCATGTTTTTCCTCAGTCAATTGTTAGAGGATTATACAGTATCATTTGAGACACTTGTCTGAGCACATTGAGTCTTCATTAAGAATCCTCTGCCTAATACCATATTAAAACAAAATACATTGTAATTCATAAGTTTCAAAGTTTCAAGTGCTGAAAATGAATGAAGTCTGTATTAATAATATTGACTATTATACTGAAACAAAGAACACATTAGGGTATTGGTACAGTACCTGTGCTGGATGGAAGGTTGTTCAGTAGCAGGAGTCTGACACCTGGAAAATCAAGATACTGTCAGATTGCTGTTTTCTGTCCTTTGAAGCGTGAGATGTCTTCTGCTTAGAGTCACTCCTAACGTTTCCTTTAGCTAAAATGTTCCAAAACAGTTCATTTATATGTTTCAGACAAGAAAGGTTCGGCCTCTGTCCAAAGTGATTGGTTCTTTAAATTAATGCACTTTATCAAAGCTTCCTGCTCATTGCTGTAGATGTTTGCCACCTAAGGGGGTGTGATTTAATTCTTTAGACATTATGCAAAAAAAGGAATTTGACAGAGTTTCATAACATTTGTGTGTACTATGCAATGCCTTATCATTTTTTTTAGTGAGCTACTCTATTTTTATTAATATAGACAACAGAGCCAAATAAAAAATATTCATAAATAATTAGACAAAACTGTGTAATGGAGATGTATATCTATGAGTCTGATAATCAAACTATGTTGTATAATAACATTTTACGTAAATATTTTAATTCACTTTTTTGTCTTAGATCCTTCTTTAATTGTTATGTTTCCAATCACTGCTTCCACGTTTGATGACTCACATATGAAAACACCCATTTTAGGAATAGCTTGAGAGTCTGCATCTGTGTAACTTCACCCAACTGAATTAATTTTAATTAAAATGAATACACAATTGTTTACGAAATGACTCATATTTTAAACCGTTTTACTGTAAATTGTCTGTAGCTAGGCAAATTCTGTGTGATATTATTTTCATTTTGAAAGGTAATGCATGTTTACAAATACTTAGATTTAGAAAATGTAGCCAGATAAGTCTTCAGTTGTTTTCCTCTTCCTAGTGCAATACCATGACCAGGAGGAAACCAATACCAACAAATCCCAAATGTTTTTATTGTTGGCTCTGCTGTTTTTCTGTTGACAGCAATTTTGAAGGTACAGTAAAAGCTTCATCTCATTACAGTTAAATATAATTATTTCTTATGGCAAGTGTGATATTTGAATGCAGAATCATGCATCATTTTCCACCCTTTCCATCCCATACACATGCTGTATACTGTATTCTGAGAGGCATTACAAACATGCTATTGGTTTCAAAGTGATTTGCTGCTTTTGTCATGTCTCTAGGGATATCCTGAAACCATTTTCTGTGACTACAGCCATTTAGAAAAATAAAACATGTTAGACATTAAAGTTAGGAGAGGGAGAGAATTTGAAAGAAATGGTCAGTTCTATGAGAGCTGTGTTAATCCTTTAATGTCTGATTAGGTTTGGTTTGATAATTTCATCTCATTTTTAATCTCCTCTAAAACTGAATCCTTTGTTGAAATATTAATGAATGTTAAGTTACCGATGCAAATATGTTTGTTTTAAAACTATAGCTTTAGAACATCTGGAAAAATGCAACAATAAAATAATAGTATCCTTACACTTAAACCGTGTTTTTCTGGACACTCCACTTGAAGCGTTTTTATAGGCTCCACCACGATGATGTGATGGCAGCCATAGTTTGCCAGTACGCTCCCCACACACCAGCTATCGGTGAGGAGGAGAACAGAATGATGAAGTTCAGAGATTATTGGGGGTTATTGGGAGGCTGTGATTGGTAAAGGCCAATGGGAAAATTGGAGAGGACACTAGGGGTAACATCCCTACTCTTTTTGTGAAATTCCCTGGATTTTTAATGACCATGAAAAGTCAGGAGAAATGCATTCTTATTGAGGAGCTCCCCCTCAAAATCTCTATGCTAGAGGGAAGGATAAAAAAATTGCAGGATATCAAACAGTCAGAAGAAGACTTTGAACTGTGTTATTAAAAAGTGTCCCTCAGTCAGAGTGTTTGTTGCCATGCTGAACCACACGCACACCTTTCACCGACGCCTGGATTACTAATTCACTGCTGTGGATTCAGCTCAGCAATGCTCGCTTCCTGTCTCCTCGGGAGTACAAACTTAAAACAGGTACACCATCTTCACAGATAATTTCTTCTGTATCTCAGCTAGTCCCCAGGATTTTAATTGTTGGCCACTGTATCACACATGAAAACATGTTTGGAGAAACATTATCCTGGCACCAGAGTTAAAGATTTTGAAGTACAGTGTGCTCACAGAACGTAACTGTTATCATTCATTGCTGCACACAAGACACTATATTGCAGAAACTGGAAACAGCAAAGCAGTATTTGTGTGTCAGACTGAAGCAGTTCGGAAAGAAGTTTATGTTGTCTGGTCCTATTCCAGGTTTTAATCCTGGATGTGAAACATTTAGCAGGCTTTTCTTTATAGCCCTTTGTGAATAACTGGGATACTTTGTGGGAAAGGCAGAATTTTTTTGCGAGAGATGTTCTGCACCCCAGTCAGTTTGGCTCAAAAAGGCAGTTTAAGAATTTTGAAGAAAAGTGCAATACTGTATGTTTGGCTACTTTCTCAACAAGTTCCCTCACTCTCACTTTCCCTTGCTCAAAACAGAGTTGCTGTTGTGTCAGTTCTTAGAAAGCACAAGAACAACATGCACTGGTGCAATTCTGAGTAATCTGATTGCTATTAACTGTAGATCATCATCCACTGTCACTGTTCTGTTAAGCTTACTTCACCCCAGGTTTGTTTGTAACAAAACCTTTATTGTTGATTAATTATTACTTAATTTAAACTGAATCTTAGTTAAAGAAGGGTGAGAGTGACCTAGTTTTAACCTTTCCTCCACACTATAATTTTCTGAGTAAACTGAGAGAAAAGGGTTGGGGGTGGTAGTTCCTACATTTTAACTGCAGTCTAATTCAATTTGGGATTTTTTCTCATTTTAAGCTTTCATTGTGCAAATCTGGCCCCACCATTCACTTGCACTGAACGATAATGGACAATCACCTAATTCGAAAAGTTCTCTTTTAGAATGTTTTGTTTATTTGCTGTTAGTGTAATCATTTGTTTGAAAAATAAAGTTTATTCTGATAAAAAATAAGCTACATCTCCCTATAGTTAAATATTATTATTTCTAATGGCAAGTCTGGTATTTTAATGCAGAATCATGTATCATTTTCCGCCTTTCCATCCAATATAACGATATGCTGTATATTCCAAGAGCCATTACAAACATAACCAATGCTATTGCTATTGGTTTACTGCTTTTGTCATGTCTCTAGGGATATCCTGAAATCATATTCTGATACCCGAGCCTTTTATAAAAAACATATTAGACATTAAAGTGAAGGAGAGATATTATATGAAATGGTCAGTTCTATGAGAGCTGTGTTAATCTTTTAATGTCTGATTAAGTCTGGTTTGATAATTCATCTCAATTCATATATGAATTGGCTACATTACTCTGCTCTCCTCCCCACTAATAGCTGATGTGTGGTGAGCGTTCTGGTGCACTATGGCTGCTGTCGCATCATCCAGGTGGATGCTGCACATTGGTGGTGATGGAGGGGAGTCCCCATTACCTGTAAAGCACTTTGAGTGGAGTGTCCAGAAAAGCGCTATATAAGTGTAAGCAATTATTATTATTATTATTATTATTATTAATAATAATAATAATCTCCTCCATCCCTGAATCTTTTGCTTAACCTTATTATAATAACCCTCTCTAGGACTGTCAGTTGTGAAATAAGAGTAAAAATAGTAAATAATATATTCTTTGGATTGTTTATTATTTATTTTATGTTTTTGGAAGGCTGAGAAAACCATTCCATAAACATTCATAGAGATTTTTTAGATTTGTTTCATAACTCTTTTATCTAGGGTAGAAGATGATTTAGATTAGACCTACTGTAGAAAGAGAAATTGACATTTAGTGTGCCAAAACTGGAGATATTCTCAAATGCATCTATTGTTTTTTCCTGTTTGTGTTCTGGATATTTTTTTCTAATGTATGTGGTGAGAAAGACATCTAAAACAATCTGAAGGTTCAGACAGGATGGTAAGGGGTTCCCTTGAATTCAAGACCCTAACCAGGCCTGTACTGTGTATACTTTCCCAGAGAATTCAACATGTTCTTACAAATGGGGGGTTACGCAAATGGTGAAGATCAGGAATTGACCAAGTGGTTTAGTCATTAAGTAAAATAAATATTCATAACCCCCAACTTGTAAGTTATTTCCCCAGAATATACCCGAGCACTAGATATGATTAAAGGCACGTGAATTATTTATTCTCTGACAAAGCTTTGGTGAAACTAGTAATAATCCAGGCACACTTTGTTAAACACGTTCATTAAAAATGACAAGACAAACACTACGGTATTTACAGACCAGCCGTTTCAGAGGCATAACACCCTAATCACGCAGAAAACCCCAGATTGCTTCAAGTATTGACCTCTTGAATTATGCCCACAGAGGCCACAATAAAAGATAAGCTACCTTCATAATAAATGCAAAATACAACCTACAGTTAAATCTCTCTCTGCAAACAAGGATGCCACATAATAAATGGGAGTCTATTTCCCTATTCTAAAACACACTCACAAAAAAAAAATCATTACACTTATATAGCGCTTTTCTGGACACCCTGTTCAAAGTGCTTTACAGATAATGGTGAGTCCCCTCCACCACCACCAATGTGCAGCATCCACCTGGATGATGTAATGGCAGCCATAGTGTGCCAGTGTGTTCACCACACATCAGCTATTAGTTGGGGGGAGAGCAGAGTGATGAAGCCAATTCACAGAATTCGGGATAATTAGAGGCCATGTTTGGTAAAGGCCAATGGGGAAATTTGGCCAGGACACCGGGGTGTCACCCCTACTCTTTTCAAGAAACACCCTGGGATTTTTAATGACCACGGAGAGTCAGGACCTCGGTTTTATGTCTCATCCGAAGGAAGGCACCTTTTTACAGTATAGTGTCCCCATCACTACACTGGGGAATTAGGACCCACACAGATTTCAGGGTGAGCACCCACTGCTGGCCTCTTTAATACCTCTTCCAGCAGCAACCTTAGATTTTTCCCAGGCACTGCCCAGACTCACAACTGCTTAGCTTCAGTGGGCTCTCAGTTGTGAGTTGCAGGGTGATATTACTGTATTGTGTGCCTCTGTCAAGTCCAGTCAGTGCTAGCCCCAGCAGGATGATTTGTAGCGTATCATCATTCCTGTTCCCAGAATTTGCACGGTATTGTCGATTCTACCCCACACTACCTTGGTGAACTGGCACCTCCAGAACACATGCTCCTATGCCTCCCTGATGAAACACGTGTCC